CCACCTCCTCGCGAGCCGCATCAGCATCCACAGTGCCCGGAGCGCGTTGGGTGTGACGGAGATGTACTGCGAATTCACGAGGCGGCGCGGGCAGGCTCGTGTCTTCTCGCCCCCGCGCCACCCTGCGCCATTCCCACAGTGATACGCCACGCTGCGAGTCGCGAGCGGCGCGCCGGGGAAGAAGCCCTCGTCTGGGTGGTTGTCGCCGGGCTCCACCGCTCTGAAGTAGATGCCGATGTCCACCCGCTGGTCTGCAGCCGCGTGCTCGCGCTGCAGCCGCGTCGTCTCCTCCTCGCCGATCTCGCTCTGCGCCAACGCGCCGGCAGCCTCTCCAGCGGCCAGCGCCTGCCGCACCGCCTCGCCGAGTGCCACCTCCAGCGCGAGCTGCAGGGCAGCAGCCGCCGCCTCGCCCGCCGCGGCGGCAGCAGCGTGACCGAGGCAGCTGCCGTGGGCGACGATCAGAGCCTCGGTCCGCACCGCGGCCTGCAAGCCAGCCAGCCGTGACAGTTCCGCCCGCTGTCTTTGTCCGCGTTGCCCTTTTTGCTTTTTATTTTCTACCTTCCCTCCCGTGGATTTAAACTTCTTTCGAGTATCGCTACGCCAAGGAGGACAAGGACGTCGACGTGCAGCTGCTTGCTGCTGTTCGAGTCGTTCGGTGCACGGACGGTGGGTTCGGGAAGGGGGTCGGCGAGATCCTCTGGAAGGCGGCGAATGTGCTGCAGAACAAGCTGACGCGGGCCCAGTACCTCGATGAGGTGACTTGAACCACCAAGAATTGGCTAGGGCTGCAGAAGCAGCGTATCTCAGTCGTTCTTCTACGCTACCCAACGCGGCCAAAGGATATCAAACTCGCGAGTTCTTCACACGACAAGCTGCGGCCGAGTGCCTCGCCGTCCTCGCGGGAGTCGCTTAGGCGGCTCCCGTGGTGTCTGGCACTAGTGTCAGGTCTTCTTGACCGGCTGGCGCTGTCCCGGCTGCCTCGGCGGATCATGCTTGCTTTTGTAGCTACGCTCTGCCTTGCCGTCAAGTCGCCTGCCGCACACGTGAAGACGCTTCGACTCACAATGCATGAAGACCGCCACGGCAGGCTCGGTCTTGGCTGCCACGACGGTGTGGTAGACCTGCTCGTCCCGGGCTCGCCAGCCGCAGATGTGCTGCAGCTTGGTGACCGGGTGCTGCGATGGAATGGCGTCGAGATGCACGATGCCAAGACGGGATCGTGGAAGCTTCTGCGAGACGTGATACGGCCGTCGGATTCCCACAGCGTTGTGGTGGAGCGACGGCTCGTTCCGGGCCTCCGGGCCGCAGAGCGCGACGCGCGGGGAGGCGGCGAACTGCGCGCGCCGGCATCTCCACCATTCGCAGCGCTGCTCGAAGACATACACGCGTCGGGAGGGTTTGTGGGACCCATCGTTGACAGCGTCAGCAGCGATGGCCTGCGGGGCCTCAGCGTCAGCCGCGCCGTGGAGGCTGGCGCGCCGCTCCTGGCACTGCCTCCGGGCTCGTACCTGAGCGCTGCGTCCGACGAGTCTGCCGACGAGTCGGAGCTGCCGCTCGACCCGCCGCTGAAGCTCTTCGAGCGGCTCATTCTCCGGACGCTGCGTGCGCGCGCCTCGGGTGCGCTGCCGTCTTACATGGCGACGCTCCCCCAGTCGGTGGACCTGCTGCGCGACTGGTCCGACGACGAGCCCGCGCAGCTAGATGCGAGATTGCCCGAGATTGCCCCAAACTAGATACGACGCGAGCACTCTGCTGGAATGTATCCGTAGCCCGTGCTCAGTGATCACCATGCGCGAGCTGAGTCCGGTGTGCGCATGCCGCAGGCTCGCGCAGCTGCAGAGCGCGTCACTGCACGCGGCGGCGCTGTCGCAGCGCCAGCACCTTGGCAACACGTGCCGCCGTCTCCTGCCTCTCCTCGCGGCCTCGGAGCGGAGTCCTGCGAGCGACGCCGAGCGGCTCGAGGTGCTCGCTTGGGCGGAGTCGATCGTCCGCTCGCGCGCACTTTCGATCGCCGACCTAGCAACCAGCAGCCCCGAGCGGATGCTGCTCCTCCTAGCGTTTGACTTGTGCAACCACCGCTCTCGTGTTCCCGCAAAGCGCCAGGCGACTTGTTCCAACCAGGGTGTTTCCCTCGGAATTCTGTACAGTCGTTCTTTTCGTCGGCTTTCCCCCTTTTTTGTGGCTTCTATGTGCTGTCACCACGAAGTCCCTGCCACGTCTGTTTACTTTCGCCGTTTTCTCTCCATTTTA